AAGATTGCTGGGAGAAATATCAATAACCTCAGATATGCAGATGACACCACCCTTAGGGCAGAGAGTGAAGAAGAACTAAAGAGCCTCTTGATGAAGGTGAGAGAGGAGAGTGAAAAAGTTGGCTTAAAGCTCAACATTCAGAAAACTAAGATTATGGCATCTGGTTCCATCATTCATGGCAAATAGATGGGGAAATGGTAGAAACAGTGGCTGACTTTATCTTTCTGGGCTCCAAAATCACTGCGCATGGTGATTGCAGCCACAAAATTAAAAGACACTTACTCCTTGGAAGGAAAGCTATGACCAATCTAGACAGCATATTAAAAAGCAGAGACATTACTTTGTCAACAAAGGTTCATCTAGTCAAGGCCATGGTTTTTCCATTAGTCATGTATGGATGTGAGAGTTGGACTATAAATAAAGCTGAGCGTAGAAGAATTGATGCTTTTGAACTGTGGTGTTGGAGAAGACTCTTAAGAGTCCCTTGGATGGCAAGGAGATCCAACCAGTCCATCCTAAAGGAAATCAGTCCTGGGTGTTCATTGGAAGAACTGATGCTGAAGCTGAAACTCCAATATTTTGGCCACCTGATGCGAAGAGCTGACTCATTTCAAAAGACCTTGATGTTGGGAAAGATTGAAGGCAGGAGGAGAAGGGGATTACAGAGGATGAGATAGTTGGATGGCATCACCGACTCAATGGATCTGAGTTTGGGTAAACTCTGGGAGTTGGTGATGGCCAGGGAAGTCTGGAGTGATACGGTTCATAGGTTTCAAAGAATTGGACATGACTGAGTGATTGAACTAAACTGAACTTCTTTTCTGCCTTGTGTTTTAAGTATAGCTGATTTACAATATTTCATTAGTTTCAGATGTACAGCAAAGTGATGATTTGGAGATATACACACATATACACTCTTTTTTTAATTTTAAGTTTATTTTTGTGCTGTGCTGGGCTTTGTTGGTTTGTTAGCTTTTCTCTACTTGCAGTGAGTGGGAGTTACTGTTTGTTGAGGTGCTAGGGTTTCTCATTGTGGGTGCTTTGCTTACCATGGAGCACCAGCTCTAGGGCATGTGGGCTTCAGTAGTTGCAGCACATGGGCTCTGTAGTTGTGGCTCTCAGGCTCTAGATCATGGGCTCGGTAGTTGCTCTGCAGCATGTGGAATCTTCCAGGATCAGTGATCAAACCCATGTCTCCAGCACTAGTGCGTAGATTCTTTTTACTGAGCCACCAGGGAAGCCCCTACACTCTTTTCAAAAAATTCTTTTTCATTGTAGCTTATTACAAGATATTGCATATCATTTCCTGTACTACACAGTAAAACTTTATTGTTTATCTACTTTATATAGTGTGCATATATATAGTGTGGTAGTGAGCATCTGTTAATTCCATACTCCCAATTTATTCCTCCCCCTTCCCCTTTAGTAACCATAAATTTGTTTTCCGTTTGTGAGTCTGTTCTTGTTTAGCAAATAAATCAATTTCTATTTTTTAGAAGCCATATATGTGATAACATACAATATTTGTCTATGTCTGACTTATTTCACTTAGCTTAATAATCTCTACATCCATCCATGTAGCTATAAATGTCAGTTTCACTTTTTTTAATGACTAATATACACTACATGTATATGTGTGTATATATATATCACATATTCTTTATCTGTTCATCTGTTGATAAGACACTTAGATTGCTTCCATATCTTGGCTATTGTAAATAGTGCTGCTATGAACACTTGGGTGCATGTATCTTTTCCAATTAGAGTTTTCATTTCTTTCTGGATATATGCCCAGGAATGGAAGTGCTGGATCATATGGTAACTTCATTTTCAGTTTTTTAAGGAGCTTTCCATAGTGACTGCACCAATTTACATTCCTAGCAACATAAAAGGGTTCCCTTTCCTTCACACTCTCTCCAGCGTTTATTTGTAGACTTTTTGAAGATGGCCTTTTTCACTAGAGTGAGGTGATAACTTATTATAGTTTTGATCTGCATTTCTCTAATAATTAGCAATGCTGAGCATTTTTTCATGTGTCTGCTAGCCATCTGTATGTCATTTGGAGAAATGTCTATTTAGGTCTTCTGCCCATTTTTTGGTTCTTTTTAAAATTATTATTAAATTTATTTATTTTGGGTTGCACTGGGTCTTCGTTGTTTTGCATGGGCTTTCTCTAGTTGTGGAAAGTGGGTGCTACTCTTTGTTGCAGTGCAGGGACTTCTCATTGCAGTGGCTGCTCCTTTTGTGGATCACAGACTCTAGACATTCAGATTTCAGTAGCTGTAGCACACAGGCTCAGTAGTTGCAGCACATGGGCGTTAGGGGACACAGACTCCAATAGTTGTAGCTCCAGGGCCTGGAAGTTGCAGTTAAGAGGCTCTAGAGCACGGGCTCAGTAGCTGTGGTTCACAGGCTGAGTTGTTACATGCATGTGGAACCTCCCTGGACCAGGGATCAAACCCATGTCCCCTGCATTGGCAGGCAGATTCTTATCCACTGTGCCACTGAGGAAGTTCCTTCTGCCCATTTTTAAATTCTTGTTTTCATCAATGAGTTGTATAAACTGTTAATATATTTTGGAAATTAAGCCCTTGTGGGTTGCACTGTTTACAAACATTTTCTCCCATTAACTGTCTTTTCATTTATGATTTTGTTTGATGTGTACAAATTTCTATGTTTGATTGGGTCCTATTTGTTTATTTTTTCTTTTATTTCTATTGCTTTGGGAGAGTGAGCTAAGGAGATACTGCTAATGTTTATGTAAGAGGCTATTTGCCTATGCTCTCTTCTAGAAGTTTATGGTGTCATATCTTATATTTAAGTCTTTAAATCATTTTGAGTTTATTTTTGTGTATGCTCTGAGGGGGTGATCTAACTTCATTGGTTCACATGTGGCTGTCCAGTTTTCCCAACATCACTTGCTAAAGAGACTGTTTTTTTCACCTTTGTATATTCTTGCCTCCTTTGTTGACAATAATTGACCACAGTATGTGTGGATTTATCTTGGGGCTCTTTTTTCTGTTCCACTGATTAATACGTCTGTTTTTGTCTCAATACCATACTGTTTTGATTACTGTAGCTTTGCAGTATTGTCTGAAGTCTAGAAGGATTATGCCACCCGCTTTGTTCCACTTCCTCATGATTGCTTTGGCAATTACTGGTCTTTTATGATTCCATATAAATTTTAGGATTATTTGTTCTAGCTCTGTGAAAAATGCTATAGGTAATTTGATAGGGATTGCATTAAATCTGTAGATTGCTTTGGGTAGTCCAGCCATTTTAACTGTATTAATTCTTCCAATCCAAGAGCATAGGTTTTTTTCCATTTCCTTGAATCCTCTTAAATTTCCAAGTTTTATAGTTCTAAGCATGTATCTTTTATCTCCCTGATTACTACATTTATGACTATTTTCTTTTTTCGTGCAATTTTAAAGAGAATTTTTTTTTTTAACTTTCTCATTCTGGTATTTCATTGCTAGTGTGAAGAAATGCAACAGGTTTCTATATATTACTCTTTTATCCTGCTCTCTTGATGAATTCAGTTAACAGTTCTCATAGTTTTTATGTGGAGTTTTTAGGGTTTTCTACATAGAGTATCAGGCATCTGTATCAAATGACAAATTTTACCCCTTCCCTTCCAACTTGGATGCCTTTTATTTCTTTTTCTTCTCTGACTTATGTGGCTAGGACTTCCAATACAGTGTTGAATAGTAGTGGTGAGAATGGGCATCCTTGTCTTATTCCAGAATTTACCAGGAAGACTTTCAGCTTTTCACCATTTGGTAGTTTCTTGGCTGTGGGCTTGTCCCAAATGGCTTTTATTACATTGAGGTATGTTCCCTCTATACTCACTTTAGGAAGAGTTTTTATCAGGAATAAAATTGATTTTTGTTGTGGAATTTCATCAAATGCTTTTTCTCCATCTATAGAGATGATCATGTGATTTTTGTCTTTTTCTGTTGTCAATGTGGTATATCAAATTAATTGATTTGCACATGTTGAAACATCCTGGTGACCCTAGAATGAAACCCACTTGATCACAGAGCATGATCCTTTTTATATGTTGTTGGATCCAGTTTGCTAAAATTTTGTTGAGGATTTTTACATCTATATTTATCAAAAATATTGACCTGTAATTTTCTTTTTTGGTAGTGTCTTTGTCTGGCTTTGGTATCAGGGTGATGGGGGCTTGATACAATGATTTTGGGAGTGCTCCCTCCTCTTCAACCTTTTGGAAGAGTTTGAGAACAGATATAAGTTTTGTTTGGTGGAATTGCCAAGTGAAGCCATCCAGTCCTGGACTGTTGCTGGAATGAATTTTTTAATTACAAATTCTACTTTATTTCTAGTGATTTGTCTGTTCAAATTATCAATTTCATCTTATCAATTTCAGTTTTGATGGGATGTATGTTTCTAGATATGTGTCCATGTTTTCTAGGTTGTCCAATTTGTTGGCATATAACTGTTTACAGTATTCTCTTATCTGTTTCTTATGGTCTTGTGTGTGTGTGTGTGCTTCTAATTTTAATTTCAAGTTCTAGTTTAATTTAATTCTAATTTCAAGTTCTTTCCAAAACAAGGCCCCAGGAAATCCCAGGTTCAATATGCTCCTAGGCTTGGTCCACTGCTGTCTTGTATTCACAGGTAGGTGTTCATTCACCAACAGTAAAGCCCAGGATGGATGTGATAAAACAGAACTTCCTTCTTCATGGCACGAGCCCTTTGCTGGTTTCAGAGGTGGACAGTGGTTATCAGAGAAAACACACAGGAACTTTTCCTTGGAACTGAAGTGGGATCAAAAGTGTCTGTTGTGAACATCACTATGTTTTCTCTGACTCTTTGCCTCCAGTTTCTGAAGATATATTCTAGCAGAAAACAGTCTTCCTTGAAGATACTGAGTGAAAATTTCATAAAACAAAAACACACACTTCCAGTGCACTGTGTTTTCAGGTACACTGGGTTTAGTTCAGTTGCCAGATGAGCTGATTGATGTGTTCACCTCAATATCCAGGTGAGCTTACTTCCTTGATAAAGCCCACTCTATTCTTCATAGTGTGACAGGCCACTGAGAGTTGGAAAGGGTGCAGTAACCCTGCAATCATGTGGAAATTCTTCCCTGGGAAGGCAATTTCATGAATGAGGTCTTCTAAGCAAATGACATCAAACTTCCCCAGGTGCTTCTCAATCACTGTGTTGTCTGTCTCAGGGATGACCTTGTTCTTGACCTTGGCTTGTCCATGTTTCAAGATGAGCTCCTGAACAGACTTTAGATTTGGAAATCCCCAGGTCACATAAGGTTCCACAATACAAAGCGTCTTCATGCTTTGAGGGGTCACTTTCATAAAGACACCACCGAAAATCTTATTCAGGCAAAGTCTTGCAATTGTCCTCTGCACCAGTGAACTCACCCCATTAATCCTTTCAATATGTACAACAAAGGCCAAGGAATGTTTGTCTGGCACTTTCAAGCCACAAGCTTTCACTTTTAGCCATCTGAGTTGTACCCTCTCCTGTAGTTGCCGCCAGGAATCATGCATGAACCATTCTAGTCACTTAAACTTGATCTCTTTTCCTTTTCTCTGCTCCTTCCTTTGCAAAAGTGCCTGTTTTGCCTGGGTGGCTTTGAGGGCCTGATAAGCCTTCTTCTTTTTCAGGAGATTCTCTGCAACCAAAGGGATTTTTCTTCTTGGCTCTTCCTCCACCATTTTTCCAATGCTGCAGCTACTACTCATGTCTCTCTTGTGGTTTTAAATGAGCATTTTATAGGATTCCACTTTGTCTCCTTTCCTAGTCCATCAGTTATAGTTCATTTTATTAGAGTTTTTAATATGCAACAGTCCAAATGCACTTTCAAATAACACTACTCCATTTCATATGTAGTATACCTCATAATAACAAAATAATTCTAATTTCTCCCTCCTATCCTTTGTTTCACTGCTGTTATTCATTTCACTTATCCCTGGGTTGGGAAGATCCCTGGGAGAAGGAAATGGCAACCCACTCCAGTATTCTTGCCTGGAAAATCCCATGGACAGAGAAACCTGGAAAGCTACAGTCCATGGGGTCACAAGAGTTGGGCATGACTTATCGACTAAAACAAAACAAACATATATGAGAATGCTGTGCTATGCTGTGCTGAGTTGTATTTGACTCTTTGTGACCCCACAAACTGAAGCTAGCCAGGCTCCTCTGTCCATGGAATTTTCCAGGCAAGAATACTGGAGTGGATTGTCATTTCCTATGCCAACATATGAGAATACTTAAGCATATATGGGGGCTTCCCAGGTGGCGCTAGTGATAAAGAATCTAGCTGCCAATGTAGAAGATGCAAGAGACACAAGTTGAATCCCTGGGTCAGGAAGATCCTGAGTAGGAAGTGGCAACCCACTCCAGTACTCTAGCCTGGAAAATCCCATGGACAGAGGAGCCTGACGGTCTATAGTCCATGGGGCCACAAAGAGTTGGACATGATTGAGCAACTTAGCCTACACACATACAAGTGGATACATACATAGATAAGACATATACATAATTGAATATATTGTTGGTATTATTATTTTTAACACAGTGCTGTGAGCTCAATTAAGAATAAAGTAAATAAAAGTTCTTATTTTATCTTCAGTTTTTCCTTCTTTGATGTTCTTCCTTTCTTTATGTAGATCTGAGTTTCTGAACTATATTATTTTCCTGTCTCTAATGACTTTCTTTCTCTCTGTTTTTGGCAAGGCTGGTCTACAGGCAACAAATTCTCTTAATTTTTGTCAATTTTCCCTTCAGTTTTGAAAGTAATTTCACATAATACAGAATTCTACATTGGTGGTGTTTTTTTCTCCCAACAGTTTTGATATTTCAGTCCACACCACAGTCTTTGTGTTTATGTGGCTTCGGAGGAGGTGTTGGATATAATTATTTTGTTCCTTTATAGGTAAGATTTTTTTAAACTCTGTCCTATTTCAGGTTTTTTTTTTTTTTTAATCTTTGACTTTTTAAAATTGAATGTGATATACCAAGGTATAGTTTGGGGGGATATTTATCCTGCTTGGTGTTCTTTGAGTTTCCTGGATCTGTGGTTTGGGGTCTAACATTAATTTGGGGGAAATTCTCAGTCCTTTTTCTTTCAAATAGTTCTTTTCTTTCTTCTCCTGATAGTCCCATTACATCCACGTTAAACCTTTTCTAGTTGTCCCACAGTCTTTGTTTAAGCACATAGGGTGGGGGTCCCTGGAGAAAGAGAATGAGGCATGGCTTTCTTGACATAAGGGAAGACATTTTTGACATTAACCATTTTGTGATCTAATCCTGGCCACAATGCTTGCCTTTGAATAGGTCTCAGTAATTAATCACCTTAAAAGAGGAAGAACAAATAACTGTTATCGGGCAAGAGAAGTAACAATAGCAGACTCCCAATTTTGTTTCAGTGGTAAAAATTAGCCTAAAGTGCTCAACCATTAGATCAACAAGAACCTAAGGGATGAAGACATTGATCTCCTCTTTTTTCTTTTAATAATATAATTTATACTTTATCCCCCAGAATTTATTTTTATTAATAACTTTTCTTAAAATATTTTAGAAATATTGAGATAATATGACAGCATTCTATTGGAAAAAGCTGCCTTAAAATGTCTTTATTTCTTGCTAAATTTTTGGTTATTCCTACAAAATTTATATGAAACTGATGCTTTCTAAGAGTAAAAGAACATTTTCAAAAATCTTTCTCATCTAGGGGACTCTACATTCTCTCTTTTTTAAAATTTTATTTTACATTGGAGTACAGTCGATTTCCAATGTTGTGTTATACTCTGTCAACTTAACTAGTTTCCCCTGAGTACACTGTTTGTTAAGAATGGACTGCTCTGGTGTATTTCAAACTGGTTCCTTTCTCTCTTTCCATGCCAGAAGCCTGATGGGATTTTGCTTTGATTGTTATTGTGGAAATAAACATTTATTTCAGTTTAATTAAACACAGTCTAGAAAATCTAGGGTATTACATGATATAATCTGGGAATAGGCAATATTTTTTAAGTTTAGCTAGCAAGCCCAAAATTATAAAGAAATCACATACATATTTTACCATATGAACATATCTATGAACACAAGGTAAAGTAAAATAAATGGCAAGACACTTTCTCCTCCGAAGAAAAGCTATGACAAATGTAGACAGTGTATTAAAAAGCAAAGACATCACTTTGTCAACAAGGTTTGTATAATCAAAGCTATGGTCTTTCCAGCAGTCATATACAGATGTGAGGGCTGGACCATAAACATGACTAAGTGCCAAAGAATTGATGCTTTCAAACTGTGGTGCTTGGACTAAGTTTGGTCCAAACCCTAGGACCGAAGGAGATCAAACCCGTCAATCCTAAAGGAAATCAACCCCGAATATTCACTGGAAGGACTGCTGCAGAAGCTGAAGCTCCAATACTTCAGTCACCTAATGAAAAGAGCTGACTCACTGGAAAAAATCCTGATGATGGGAAAGATTGAAGACAAAAGGAGAAGGCGGTTGGCAGAGTATGAGGTGGTTAGATAGCATCACTGACTCAACTGGCATGAGTTTGAGCAAATTCTGGGAGATAGTGGAGGACAGGGGAGCCTGGCACGCCACAGTCCATGGGGTTGCAAAGAATAACAGGAAACGACTTAGCGACTGAACAACAGACAGAAGACAGTTAAAGAAACACGGTGAAGGCAAGACAGAGCAGTAATATCTGTGACACTGAAAAGAAATGATAGGACTTCCCTGGTGGTCTAGTGGTTAAGAATCCACCTGCCAATGCAGGGGTCACAGGTTTGATCTCTGGTCCAGGAAAATTCCACGTGCTGCGTGGCAACTAAGTTCATGTGCCATAACTGTTGAGCCCTCACTCTAGAGCCCGCAGCCTGCAACTATGGACCCCTCATGCCACAACGACTGAAGTCTGCACATCTAAAGCCTGTGATTCACAACAAGAGAAGCCATTGCAATAAGAAGCCCATGAATAGCAACAAGAGTAGCTCCCATTTGCTCACTGCAACTAGAGAAAGCCCATGTACAACAAAGACCCAGCACAATAAATAAAATGAAAAGAATAATAGATATAAATAAGGATTTAGAGAAAAAGGTACCTTTGATTGCAAAATTGAGATGAATATGCACATGAAATTTGATTGTTTTATCAAATAAGCGGAAAAAATATCTATATGAGTATTTCTCTCTCTGCATGTGTGTTAACTATTCTTTTAATATTGTATTACTGTGAAGAAAATAATGAAGAATACTAAATTTGCAAGAATGTTTATGAAATAGTAAATAGAGGTAGGAGAGCTAAATAAAACAGGTAAATAAAAAAGAGAGCTAAATAGGGAAGAGAAAAACAGCCTATACTAAAATAGCTAGCACGTATGACACACTGTTACAAAATTACAAACAAATGTAGACAAGAAAGAAATTAAGATTATAAAGGACATTGCAACCAACTTGCCAGAGGGCATATCCAAGGAATTCATATCAGTATTTATTAATAGATGCCCTTCTGCTTGAAGTGTCACAAAATGTAGTCCAACGTGGACATGAGGCAGAGTATATATGGTCTTGGTTATTATCAATCTGAGGTTGTTATCTATGTGTTCAGCTTGACTGTACTAAAGGGACAGGGGTCAGTTCAATCTGGTTTTATGGTTTATTCCCGGGGTGATCAAACTCTCTACAAAAAACCAACTAGTAAATATTTTAGGCTTTCTGGGTCATATCATCTCTATCATAACTACTTATCTCTGCCACTGTATGTAAAAGCAGTCATAGACTGCAATGGTTAATTTTATGTGCTAACTTGGGGAGGCTAGAATATCAAGTCACTTAATCAAATTCTAATTTAGGCATTGTAGTGGAGATATTTTGTAATTGTGGATAGACAGATATGTATCGTATACTATTGGTTCTCTTTCTATGGAGAACTCTGATTTATACACAGATAATACATAAACTAATGGGCCTGGCTGTGTTCCTATAAAACTATTTACAGTAACAAGCAGTGAATCCAACCTCTAGTACTATCAACAATAAAAGACAATTACTTTTATTAAAAGCTCTATGTTTTGACACTGTGAAAAGTGTTTCATACATGGATCCAAGTGTCCGATAAACTGAGAATTGTTTCTGACCAGGCCAGATATTCTGGAGCAGCAATGAGAGCAGGAATAATTTTCCTAGAACCAGTGAGACCATAAGCTTAAGCTTAAGAAAGAGTTTCTCAGAGGTTTCAAGATGGTATTCTTTTAATTGGTTTTTATATTGTCTTCTCTACTGGTTTTGGAGATCAAAAGTTATTGCTGCTGCTAATCCAACAGAAGTCAACCAAGAGCATGTCTTGGATGCTCATTTATTAAATGGAGCATCTTTCAATTGTTCCTGAAAAGGGGAAAATTTAAATTCACTAAATCAAAGGTTTTTACTTTTGGAATAAAAAGAATTTTTTACATCAAAGATTTAAAGCCAAGGACCTTTTAAGTAACGTATTCCTTAGAAGAAAGAATCTTCACACTATAGACTGTTATTCAA